CTGAGGAAGCACGGTATCTTCAAACAGTTTTTGGCATAGCTCTCTTAGAGGATCGGCTATGTGACTTGTCAGAGTGATAAGGGCTTGTGAATGGATGTTATCTAAACCCGGTGATGAGTTCTTCTTTAAAGCCATGAGCTTGGCCTTTACATTTTTGGGGGAAAGATAATGTCTGTAAATAATGGGTAAGGTATATGTTCTTACAGACTCGGAGTTACGACCGCAGTGTTAGTGGGCCCATTGACTACTTGAGAGTGCTGTAGCCTCAGCATTTCTGCAGCTTCCGTGGTCTTCACTGAAACATGTTCTGCTGATTTTTCATGGGAACGCTGTATATGAGTTTCCGGAAAACATTTAGATGCTTATTCGATAGCTTGGGATCTGCCATAAACTTTGTCGCCAGCATATCATGCTAATTGTGATTGTTTTACCCATGTGCTGTAGCGTGGACAGCGTTTGAACTCCCTCCAGTGAGAGTACCTTTGCATCATCCATTTCCTAGTTGTGCTGCGAATTGCGGATTTCCGAACAGTCGGTCGGCATAGACGCTTGATGGTTAATACAGCAGCCACCAATTTTTTGATGCTGTTAGTAAATTTTCTCCAGGATTCCAGTGGGTTGCCGCCTACTTCAGGGGAGATCCACTGGATTCCATGAGCCAGGGTGTTTAATCCCACATAGTCGGTTATGATGCGAGAGCGATCCGGAGAAACTGTCATTACTGATGCATAGCAAACATATTCGAACAGCGTGATCACTGCGCCCCAACGGAGTTTCTGTTGCAGTTGATTCGATCATCAATTCTTCATGTGTCAGTACTAGATCCAAAGTTGACGAAATTTGGTTGATTCCAAACCTGGTGGGTTCCATCACACGATTGTACAACGGATGTGACTGGATGAACTGCTTCAGATGACGTTCAAATGGGTCTCGGTTACGGCAATGAGATCCCATCGACCGGTCTGACAAGGTTGTTCCATTTCCGGAAACTTACGGAAAAACCCTGGGCATTGGTATAGAAACAGTTCAGTCTTTGTCGGTGCAGAAATCCATTGGAGTTTAGGGACGTAATTTGGCCGACCTCGTTGTCGGCCGGCAGACGTTTTTTGTCGTAGATTTTTGTTGGATTTGGTCTGATGGGGTAGTGGAACATGACGTATGCAGTGTTTCACGCGCAATGTGATTGACTATTTCGATGGGTGGACAATTTTTCGGTTCGGAATGCAGCATCGGTCTCAAGCGTAGCTCTTTGGGCCCCTTGTTTCTGTGTTCATACCACAACTGGGGAACTGTGTTTGCCATTTCCGGCGTCTCAAGAGTTACTTTCATTATTTGCGGGCCATCTCTACGATAGTTGGGAGAACGCGGAAGGCGTTTATTGGCCGTGGTAGAGACGTTGCGACAGTCTAACAATTCTTGAATGAAGTGCCATTCGTAAAAATCATTTTTTCGACAGTTGCGTTCGTCGGCTTCGGGGAGCTCTGGCACTCCATGTATGAGGACCGCTCGCGAGTTGTTAGCATCGCGTGCACTGTTAAGATTGTTCCGTCGATGTACACGTTCGGTCCAAGGTCTGTCCGGTAAAATCCTGGTGCCGCTGGATCCATGAGAAAACTGGAAAGAAGAACATTTTCAACGTCTTCTTCACTGATCAGCGTCACACGAAGTAGCCTGGGTTCTCCGATATGCAGTGTTGTCGGGTAGCTCTAGAGACGTGTGAGGCTCATCGGTTTGGCTTCTACACCCAGTCGAGCACATACCTCTGACCAGTGACTCAGCTCGTCCTGTTGCCTCTCCCTCAGTGATTGACTTGTGGGTTCTGGAAGATTAGTGCAAATTACCGGAAATGCAGTGCTGTCACCAACTTTCTTGTTCGTTTTTGACGGTATAACAGCCTGTGGTTGATGTTTAGGTGGTGTTACTTCGACTACAGGTACCGAAATTTCGACTGTTGGTTTCCTCGTGGCTATTGGAGAAGAAGTGATGCGCGTTACCTCTTGATTTGTTTTATTACAGTACTTCTCGGATGTTTTGACGGCCTTGGGTTTGGGCTTTCGGGAGTGATCTGGGGACCGAGGGTCTCTCTCTATCTTCGCTTCGAGAGAAGCAATGTGTAATTTTGCCCTGTCCTCGACGGCTGCTAATATATTTTCAAATCTATGTGTGATATCCGTAATGCATTTGATAATGGGCAGCTTGGAGCATTCCCCACAAAAAAAATCATTCATCATTTTATCTAATTTCCTCTGTCTAATGGTTTTTTATAGCTAACGCAGAATCCGAACACCTCGATGTTCGATAGATTATCATAAACAGATATCACGCACTCTTCAAGAGCAACGGATAGAGACGTTTTTTTCCAGCAATGCGAAGAATGGAATCAAACGGAACCGTCCGAAATGCAGAACAATTGTGATGCATCAAACCTGTACTAGCTATCTTCCAATCCAGTGACTTCATGATTAACTTTTCTGCGATCTCGAGAACTGTTCTTTGTGGTTGACTTCTAAGGCGGCGTTCACTTGTGACTGTGTATTCCGGGTTACGTCTCCTGTCTTTACTGTCTGTGCCCTTCCAACTGACTTCCCACTGCTTCACATTTCATTCCCCTTTTGAATGCGTTGTGTACTTGCTTCGGTGGTCCAAGGGTATGCTCTCATTTCTCCTGGTTTTTGGACAACGGCGTTCAATCCGTTGTTTCTTTTCATGCTTCACATAGCATCGCCTGTTCATTCAATCTGGGACGGGAATAGAAGTAAACGTTTTATCCTGGTGTGCGCTCCCACCCTCACTAGGTGTTTGTATGTGCTCTGGCATATTATGGGGAATAGTAATTTAACAACAGGGTGCGTTAATGTGTGATCTTTCCGAGGAAATCTGATTATATCATCCCAATTGCTACATTAATGGTACACACTCCCACTGTCGGACGCCCTGCACTGGCTAGACAAACCTGGGTTCCCTACGGATGCCTTCAAATCGTTTAGCGATTCACATGCCTGAGTTACCTGTTTTGTGCATCCCTCTAGCGGATGAAATCTTTACTTTCGTGCCGTGCTTTCTTTCACATTATGACGTTCTGCTTCTCACAGTTCAATTGCCTTGTTGTCAGTGCTGTGACAGCTCAGTTTGGGGCTGATATGACACTCGCGGTCCAGTCGCTGTCATTGACTGCCTCTGAGCCCGAGAGGGGTTCGAGTTNNTGAACCCCTCAGTTTTGGTGACTGATAACCTCACTGTCATCTGACTCAATACCGGGTCCATCTCATCATCTTATGTAGTTTGCCAGTTGTCATTAGTAAAACGCAAGTCCTTGTGAATGTGTGTGTTTTACTTCTTACACCGTTCGTTCATCACAGAATGTTGTGATCAGAAATCACCAAACCACGTGGTCAGTTGCTGTCCAAATTTCTCTATGATCTATCTCACAGAGCTACATGCTTGTGACTATCATTTGAGTGGTTAGTTCACCTATCGAATTGGTCTAATTCTAGACGTATAACTCAACACCGTGATTTCCCACACACCCCACCCCATCATCTCCGTCTGTCTGTCTGTCGGCAGGTCNCAGGTCACATGCGCACAAACAAGGAATGTCCCATGTACGGAAAGAGTGGTACTGGAGCGGTTCCCAGTGCTGATCTGCCCACCTCTCGTCGTGGTCTGGATCGATCTCGCGCACGTGGTGCCCCCGGATCACGTGGTCAGTTGGACGGTTTGGCCAAATGTGATGCGGATGCGATTGCTGCCGCTCAAGCTCTGGCATCTCGACCCGTGTGCGAATTGTTAGCCGAACAGGAAGAGCAAGAGGCTGCTGAGCACAAACACGGTGCTGCTGGTGGTGGTGGTGGTGGCGGTGGTGGCTCAACCGATGCTGAGGGGACATCTCAGGATCGACTTCATGCTGACGAGTCACGTGACTCGACCAGTGCTTTCGGTGAAACAGATATGACGGTATGTTTCCGACCCACGCGATATATGTAACAGGATTTTTAATGAGTTTCGAAAAGTATAACTAATGCTTTATTGTTTAGTGCTGGGTGGACAGTAATCTTTCTAAAGCGAATGCCTTTAGATGAATAATGATAACTTCTCTTATATCGTTTGTCATTGTTGTCTCTCAGACGAAAGTGAGATTTTCACCACTTCAGGAGAGCCCAAAGTGTTCAGTTTGTTAACTCAATCATCTTAGTGCTCATTGGTGTTTGGTTGTCGTGGTAATCGAAATGTTACAGGATTCCAATGCTCGTATACTGATTCATGATGTAAAATAGAAACTCTATTACTATCTTTGTGCACGGATTTACAGATAAACTAATTGGAATATCACTAGTGCGCAAACACACACTAATCTTTACATTCCCCGGTTCGAATCCAAAGGTGATCACTCTAAGATATTAGCAGACCAGGATGCTTGGATAGATATGTATACAGAGTGAGACTGTATGCACTCCGTCTCTGTCTCTGTGCGTGCGTGCGTGTGTGTGTGTGTGTGTGTGTGTGTGTGTGTGTGTGTGAAGTAATGAGCCCGAGAGAACTCAAATTAAGAATAGCAGCGTGGTGAACAAGCTCGTTTTCTGTTATTCGTAATCATGCCATTGCATAATGTTAAATATGACTAACAATGAAAAACAAACAAGAAGTCCTAATGGTTCAACTCCTGCTCCAATCATATTTGCTTGTGTGAAATTGAACACAGTGTCAAAAGTTCAACGGATTGCGCACGTGTTGCATTGAATGAAGTGGGCCACAACGGGGGCTTGTGAATACGGATATTTACGGCTTTGGCTGTGGCTAAGAAACGATGTTTCATTGCTCTTGATTGTCTACTTCGAACCCTGTAAATCGGTCGGAACGTGCTTGCCACATTCGCCGATTGATTTGACCCAACGAGATGCGAACAAACCGCGCTTGTAATTGTCTCAATTGTTCCAGTCCTTAGCCAAGCCGGGTGGTGTTCGCGAACGTGATCGGTTAAGCGCCTGGTCGTGCGGCCAATGTACCCGGTTCCACAGGAATGGGTGAATGAGTATACACAAAATGAGGCTGCAGAATCTGACACTCCAGTTCGCCACGCTGTTGTTTTCAATGTGTTCTGTGGGACTAATGAAACGTTAGAACTCAAATTGATACACTGTTCGGATGACGTAACCAAAAATTCACTAAGTTACATCATGGTCATATAGATATGCGATTTTCCCATCCCTTGACTGAGGGACTTTTCTGTTTGAACCTACTGAGTTTGTTTCATATAAATGTGATTTTAAACGCAATGGAAATAGTTGTGATAACCGATACAAGGAGCACCGGACAGCTGTTTCGTCTTGTTTGTGGCCTCGTTAGCAGTGTGCGTACTTTTTTGACCCTGTCCGCAGACTTGATACTGTAAATTGATTGTAATGGTTTGAAAATGAATTCCCCGAAAACATTTGCTTGCGTTCATTCTGTGTTCCTAACCAATGGGCATATTCTGTTCCCACTCTTTCACGTCACCACTCAGTGGGAGCTGCACTGACGGGCCGCGGGCCCCTTGGGGCAGATTGATAGCTTGCTTTCGTTTTCACTTAATCACCACGTGTGTCCAGTTTCTAGCCTATATGGGAATTCGATCGGCATCAATAATGACGAATAAGAACAGATGCACTGTGAAGCTAACTGCAGTCTTAGTCGCCGAACGGATGTTGAACACCGTACTCCACTGACATCTAATCCGTAATTGTCTACGATCAAATCTAGACAGTTATACTCACCGTGGTGGTGGCCAAGTGGTTAGGTCACCAACTTGTGGCCTGGGTGTCCCGAGTTCGAACAGCTCCACTTCCGCCCGTCTTCCCTGTTTCTGTATTTTCCCAGGCAGCCTTTGTATGGCCGCGGCCCCCTTCCTGAATGTTGACTGTATATTTGTTTATTCAATAAATAAAAAAGGAAGTAAAGAGACATTATATATCACCGACTGTAAATTGGAGTCACCCTCGGCTTAGTTTCCTGAAAAATGGTTATCCTGAGAAGTTTATCGAACTTAATTTATCAGAACAGATTTAACCAACAAAAATACCCCAATTGGAGATGAAAGTTCTCTCTTATAAAGCTTCCATTCAAAAGAGATGGCGCCGCTGATGGGACTAGCAGAATTTCATCCGCCGCAATGAAATCCAACTTTTCTACTGCTAAACGGAAATGCCTGTTTCTCTACCTCGCCAAAAGTCCCGTATGCCACAGCAAAGATAAGCTACCCATGTTGACCTCATCTATGATTGTCTATCCATTCAAGTGCACCTGTGGAGCGACTTGTGCAGATCGAATGACAAAGCAGTTATCTCAACGGATCAAGAACACAATTCTCTTTGGCTCATACGTGGAGGAAGTAGAGCTGTGTCAAGCTCGATCGTTGTCCGTTTGGTTGCGACGGCACACCTAGTTGACATGCGCTCGGTATTTACAATCATTTATCCCGTCTCACCACAACCCTCGAGAACAATGCGGTTCCTAACGCAAGCGACCGCAGAGGCGATTAGCATCCGACTGATGAAAACCGAACTGTGCACACGACGAAAATTACGTCAAGGTCTCAAACTTCCCCGGTCAAGTGAAGAGAAGATCGTCTGTCCGTATGGCCATGACGCAACATCGCGCATGTTTATTACGTAATCCAAGCAACACATCAATTTGAGTTCTCTCGGGCTCATTTCCAAATATATGACTCCATCCACCTTTCTGTTTGAATTCATTCCACTTAACTATGATAGTAAATGCTTCAAAAGGAATTCACTTGCGATGAAAATATTTGTGATGACCGATAAAAAGCACTGGACAGCTGTTTCGTCTTAGTTGAGACTCGTCAGCAGTGCATACTTTTTGTGTCTCCGTGTCAGGACTCGAACCGTAAACCTTTGGGTCGGGACTTCAAACCCTTGCTCCTGAGCTACACCGTGAACGGTCATCATCTGGTGCGAATGGCTCAATCAGTTTCTAGAGTATCATGTTTGTGCCAAGGCACCAGGTACTCTCCCAAGAAGTGAAACCCATACCCAAGACCAAGGGGGCCCGTAAACAATCGAATCGGCTAATCCAAACATGATAATTTAAGCTGGAAATGGAACTTTGTATTCCCTGTTAGTTTGGCAGCGATCAGTGAAGTTCGTTCCACCGTACTTCCCTGTACTATGACCAGAAGTAGGATGAGGCAGAGGATATTGCTTCTTTATTATTTTGTGCAACCAGCTTCCTCTGCGGGATCAAATAGCTTCATTCATATCAAGATTAGCCATAGTCCACAATTAACCGTTTGAACGCGAGATCGGCGTAGATCAGTTTTCTGTCACGGTTTCAATAGTACCTATTGTTGTGTTCCGGTCTAGACGTACGAATGACACGAGCGACTCTTGCCTAACCTCCCAACAATAACGCGGAGAGAGAACAAAGGTGCAAACAAGTCAGCGTGTACTTTTTGAATTAAATTTCGATACGCAAATATACAGAATAAGTCATATACGAGAACGGCGCAGTGACGCACCAATCAGATTGCGTCCTTGACATATCGATTGATCGATCGGACAAACATTGGCTGACTCGTTCTGTGATCATCCAATCTGGACTCAGCTTGTCTGGAGCGTTGGGTGGGTGCGTGTGGCCTGTCTCGGAGGCGGGCACAATCGGATGGGTGGTTCAAACTCCGTCCTTACACTTATCATAAACCTACTGCCGGGAAGCCAAAATGTGGCTCAGGAATTTTGTAAGAAACTCCTTTTTTGATCCGCTTCCGTAGATATTCGTTTTTGTTTTTGCCCGAGATGACATGAATCGGTTCAAACATTGGTCTGGATTTGTTAGCCCGGTTGTCGTGCCGGTCCACAGTGTTGCGCATTTGGGTCCGCTTTGACGGTTTGTGTCCAGTGCGTCACTTCTGTCCAGTCTGACTGGGCCTTGCACCAGTCCAAGCGTTTGTCCTGCGGAAGCTAATGGGTTTTTTCATAGTTGTGATCGTGAGTTTTTTCATCTCCTCTACCGAATTGCATCACCGGGAAGAAAAATAAGCGATCTCACAAAACACGGGACCAATTTTTCGTCTCGGACACTATTTAGTCCGACTGGGGAAAAGTGCATGCTTGTTGTTTATATTGCCAGTCCCCTGTGTCCCTGTTTGCTTATGGTTCGCATCTTCACCGGGAGCGGTCGAACGAGTGCAATGATACGCACGCATTTGCACATTTACAATGTGAATCTGAACGTGACAAATTCGTGTGAAACTGTAGTAGCTATAAAAGGTCAGCTTTTAATACACCAATGCGACTACACTGAAAGTGTATATGTATTATGTAATGAGTAGTATATGAATGGCTCGACAAAATTTCCCCGGAAGCACACAAATCAAGTTGAACTGTATGCACCCAATCGGGTGGATTTTCAGCATTTTTGACAAGCTAATTTGGAGAAACAAGTGTGATAAAAGGCTAATGTGACAGTGGCTTTCCCAAGTCAGTAATGATATTGATTGATTTGAATAAACTATCCTTCGGACTTCACCTTCACGCACAATCCTCAGTTCATCGATTGAACCATACATTCAGGAGCATGAGACTTGAGTTTTGCTCTGATTAGAGCTCATCAGTAGTGCGTATCCACCGTTGACACAGTGGTAGCGCATACGCCTTCCATGCGATCGGTCAGGAGTCAAAATCCCGAACGGGACGGTGGATATGCACTACTGATTAGCTGTAATAAGAGCGAAACTCGAGTCTATGGTTGGCTGGATGAACTGAGGATTGTGCGTGGAGGTGAATTCCGAAGGATTGTCAGTCAAATCAATCAATATCAATTATCCCAAACCACTACTCACAAGTAAATGTGAGTTAAATGCGAATAATCAATAATGATAGCTGTTTTATTTACCAAAATAATTGCCAAATTTCAGGATGATGCTGTTACGATCGTGTGACGGGTGGTACGTGGACAAAGAACTCCTTAAATTTCAAACACGTACTCGGATGAGACACCGATTTGCTGAGATGGGCACGCAGGCAGTGTTCATCATTTGACACTATATATGACTGATAACTCTATCACATGCATAGATCTGCTTGTACACAATAAAATCTACCAAAAAACGGTCTCGAGAATGCCATTGCAACGGAAAAGTAGTTTAAGAGATCTGGCAAAGGGCATAAAGGCTTTCTCTTTTAGAACGGGTTACAGTACAATCATTTTGAGCTGAGCTTCCTAAGTCTGAGTGCGTAAAAGGATAGTCTACGAACTCCAATGTAAACGTTTTCAACTTGCTTGGACTAACAAAGCTGAAGGGGTCAGCTTCGGGAATGATAGTACTGTTAGTAGCAAGTTCAAATTTGTTACTAAAATGCGTTTGGTAATGATTGCCTTTTTTTAGGCTAAAACGAATATTTACACATATTTACACATCGAGCATCGAAGATTGGGGTGCAGGTTAACCAACAGTTTTATTTAGACAGTCCCGAAGTTAACAGAAACAATCAAGGTCAGTCGGGGGACAACCAAGCACCACTTTCCATCAACGTACGGCACACGGATGCGTGGTGTTTCGAGAGGCTTGATATAACTTTTTCGAACTGAAAGAACAAGAACAATCAGCGGCGCTTGCATTTGAGAATAAATAGTCCCGCACCCCTACCCGGATTCAAATCAACCACCAACCAGTTCAGCTTTGTTGTTTCATTCTCGATCGTTCTTTTCCACTCTGCTTGGGCCGGTGTAAATATTTGAGGAGTAAGTGGGTCAAACTGTCGGTGCCTATTTTAACGGGCCGAATGTGGATCGATGCATGGACGTGGACTCTTCTTCTCGTGGACAAATTGTCCAGTTAATTAGCGCCAGAGTGGACCGGGGTTGCATTATTCATAGTGATATTCTGACTTCTGTGGACGCCTGTTGCACTTACATAATCATCAACATATTTGATGAATGAGCCGCAGATAAAAAAAACTAACTCTGGTACCACATTTTGCAGTGTTTTTGACCGTTTTGTGAGCACTGGCCCAATCGGATTGCGCATTAGTTACCTCGTTGGAGATTCTGCGATATTTCGTGAACACGAGTTACAAACGATGTGTTCTTGTTTGCTTTTCGATCGATCTTTGGTCCATTTTATCGTTGTTGTTGTGGTTGTTGTTGTTGGTGGTGGTGGTGGTGTTGTTGTGGTCACCTAATATTATAACAAGATTGGAAATCATCTATTAAGGCCTCTAAGTATGTGCGGATGTCACCTCACTAGCCAAAGGAGAAAGGCTACATTCTTTTGAAAACAATTGATCTGTGCTCTATGTCGTAGTTAGTCTGTTCCGCCAGTGCATTCTCATCAATACCTCGATGTTACTATCTACTAAGATCTCGCCTGGACTTCGCATTTCAACTCTACTTTTGAAAAGATTTAACAAGTGTGCTTCTTTATCGCCTGCTTGCGATCTTTTTAAAAATCCCATGGTATTCACTCATCCGTTTTGTGTATCTTTGTGTTGTCACTCATCTTTACTGTTCCCCGATCTTAGAGTTCTAGACTGTGCAATTCTACCGTCAAAAATATCTCACGCACAATCGGTATTCCCTATGCACACTTGCTCTCGTACTTTATCGCCAAAAAACATTCTACCTCTTGCGAAAACGTCTGCAACAATATACGAACAGGCATCACTCACTCATTGCACCCTTGAGCACTTGAAACAATGCATATCCACTTCTGTAACTAGATGTCGTTATAAACTGGTGTATACTCGTACCACTGCTTACCGTTTGTCCGTTGTCCCATGTCTTCCGAGATTTCTGGCACAGAAAGCATCCGTCAGAGACAACTTTAAAAAAAAATCCTAGATAATTAATGTATATTTTCACTGTTTTTACGATACCTTCCTCTTGAATTTACCGTATTTTACTATTTATCTGTGTCTGTATGACCTTGTTGTGTGTGATTTGTGCAAAAAATTGCATTTTCGAATAGTGGGCTCCATTCTCTTCGCGACAGGAATCGAATATCAACTGACACACATTAATTAGAAATCGATCTGTCAGGGGTTTCCGCGGTGCAAGCTATGTCGTCGGGCTCACAGAGGAGGCTCGTTCTCTCGCTCGCTTCCGGGAGCAGATTACTAAAGATAAGCTATCCAGGCGCTCGAGCTTGACTGACCTCTGTGCGTCAGAGGTTCCGAGGATATCATGATGTGTAACCATGTAACACGTCCGTGAGACACTGAACCAGTCGCACGTTTAAACTTCGTAACCAACGGTATCGAATCCAGCATTACAATGTGATCAGATCTATCCTGAGGTAGAGTTCTCGTGTCTTAGGAAAATCAACCGCTGTGACATGCTACCGCAATTGAAGACCTAAGTGTTTTGGTGGAATTTGGATGTTTCCAAAGGTACGCCGATGGCTGGGAAGCGAGTTGACCTAATATAATCCAGTTGTTCCCCTTTCGAAACGGACACATTCTTGTTTGTGTGTGTTATCACTGTAGTAAATACACCATCATCGGATTTTTGATTCCATGACTAAATCGTGACATGAAGAACCAATATGCAAGTCGTCCTACTTGTCGGAGAGTCAGCATACACCTTGAAAACTGATTTTTGTTTTGAAACAACCAATCATAACAACGGTAGGCGAACTCTGGCGATTGGTCGAAACTGCCAGTCAATCAACCAATTAAGATGGTTGACAATAATCCTATCAATCAATCGTTTGATGTATGCATTCTCTTGTCCTCGCTTTTTCTCATAAATAATAATGTTTTTTGCGTAATAAATGAATTCCTGCACGCTTCCAGCTGCGTTGTATTTCACTACCTGTGGAATTTCTATCTGGACAAGAAAACGTTACCGGAAGGCGATCCTTTTAAGAATCTAGTACCCCAGTTAAACCTCGAGCGGTTACAACATTGCTCACTCATCTTGTTTTCTCCACTTTACAGGTCGAAGGTACCAAATTGAAATTGCACTCGAATCTTACGCGGTATATTCAAGAGCAGAATCGTCGCAATTTGAAATTGAAAATTCATCGGCAATTGTTGGATCGATTGAATGCTGCATCCGAGATGGTTCAATCTGCGACCGCTCATCGTCGTTCGCTTGCTTCACGTCAAGCTGCCGCAGCTTCTTCCGGTGGATCTGGTCGTGGTCGTCGGACCAATCTGATAGACGACGAATTCCCCACTGGAATCAAGAATCGCGGTAATCGTCGAAGGATCGATCCACGTGTGGCGCTCAATCACATATTTGAAGGAATTTACAAGGTATGCTCGATGGTCACTTTGAGCCGTCTCATTTCCATTGTAAGAGTTTGTATTAGCTAAGTATGTGTTTTTGATCATGACAATGAATTCAGTCACAGTCCATCTTCAAGGGTCCTTTGTGTATGGGATTTCTCCTCTACCCGCAGTTTGTGTCAAAAACTTATCTAACCGACACATCCCTTTACCTCTGTGTCAGACAAGTTATTATTCTAATGACTCATCAAATACCATTGATGTGTGTGTCACGACGACTCTTTGGACGGAGATAATTTCAATGGAATTTTATTTATGGTGACCAACTGACAGCCTTAGATGCAGCTGTTTCGTTATGATCGAGACTCATCAGAATTATCAACTCGCACTGGGCACATGCAGCTGTGTCCACTGCTTTCTGTTTACGCGCAAACAGAATTCCATCGCATCAAAAAAATGCATTAAATGTCCGAGGTTGTAGGTGTCAGTGAAATCCGAAGGAGTGAGAACCCGGTCCACACACACGGTCACAACCAAAAGGTCATAGAACCGCAGAGTTCTTGTGGTTACCGTTCAGTTCAGTGTGTATAACAGTTAGTTACCTATGCGGCAATTTTGGTTGCTGTCTTTTGACTACCTAGTTGGTTGAAAGAGAAGAGGAAAGGTTGGAGTGTTGCGCGCAGAATCAGTGTGAACATGGCGGATTCATAAAGACTTTGGTTTGCAAGGAGATTCATAAGACGCACGAGCCCCATTGTTTGTGATACTCACTCAGTCATATTACTCATCCGTTTCGAACCATTGAGACCTACAGCCCACAATTGGCTCCTGACCGGAATCGAGCCAAGTAACGCGCGCTCAGTCTTGACACTTTTAATCCTCCTGACACCAGAAACACCCTGAGCGTCGGATACTGGATCACTCAACATAGATAGAGTGAAGCATGAGGATAAGGTCAGATCTCGAGAACGCAAGGTGACCATCGAATTAGGGTTTTGTGTGACTGTTCTGAAAAAACACAGCCAACCTTCTAAATAGAAAGTTCCCCCGTGTTCCAGCTAAGGCAGTTTGTTGGTCAATCTGAGAGAATATGTGGACATTGAATGCGGTTAAGTGAGGAGGAGATTTTGGTTTCATCAATCCAATAGCTTCTGGTTGGTTGACCTTATGAGTTAAACACTGAATGACATCCGGTCTATAGCGTATACGGGACACATCTCTCTGGTGTTTCGGGTGAGGGTGGGGCGGGGGAGAGAGAGAGAGAGAAACAGAGAAAGAAGTTTTCAGGCACTTATAGTTTTCCAAAGGGGATGCTTGAAACCTCATGGCACGACACAACTTCGCGGTAGCCCCTCACATCGACGAACAGGGATTTTCCTTTCCGTAAGTCACTGTGATGTAGATCCAATGCATATTTGTGCAGTTTCTCGAAACCTTCGGGTTTCGGTTTTAT